AACCCGCACTGTTCTTGTCCTATTCTCCTGTTTGATTCTGCCTCAGGCTCTAAAAAGGAATCTGTGAATTGTCATAATCGGCCACGTTTTAAAGTTATATAGCATTGAAAATAATTGTCTCGTTATTACTTTTATTGTCTCCTCTCAAACCAATTTCTGGGTTCTATAGTCTTGGATAGCAGCTAATCTACAAAGAGTGCTCCGAATTCAAAACAAAAGAAAATGCAACGAGGAACCAAAGCACTTATGGTTCCCAAGAAGCCATGGTAATTCCCAGATATTAACAAAATATTCATTCTCCTACAGGAACATTATAGTAAGATCTCATCTCCATTTATGTACCTTGAACCTTCAGGATATAGACGATCATAGCCCTCCACAGCTTCCTATCCTTTGTAGTTCTAAGTAATGTTTGTCTCTTCATTATTCCTTTCGGTCAATGTTCTTCGATCCATTTACAAAAGCTCGTTAGATAGGCTATATTTACAAGAAAATTAACAAAATACTGTTAGTAGTAAAAGAGTAATGGATAGTGGCTCGAAGTGAGGAAACGGAGTTCGAGTCGAATCCATTGCATTCATTTACGCGCTGATAGCTTTGGGAAAATCCATTCTCCCCCATTCATTTAGCAGGACAGAATACCCTTGGATGGGAAAGGTATGAATCCTCCTCTTCTCCCTCCAGCTATGGGTAAAATAGCAGGACAGACTGGGTTCTATAACCTTGGATGGTCTACCGCAGAAAAAAATGGCAACATACTGTGGGGAAAAAATCTACCTTGTCAGTCATGTATCGAAAGATACATGATCGCCTAAACGTGTATCACGCATGGCCCAAAACTGACTAGGAGGCACGGATTGAGGAATCGGAGAGCCGAGTTCGAATCCCAGTCGAATCCATTACATTAACTTACGTACTATTACCCTTAGGAAAGGTATGAATCCTCTTTTTCTCCCCTAAGCTATGAGTAAATAACAGAACAGATCAGGTTCTATAGCATTGGGTGGCAACTGGTCTACCGCAGAAAGAAATGACAACCTGCGTAAAAAATCTGCCTCGTCATTCTTGTATGGAAAGATACATGATCGGCTAAGCGTGTATCACGCATGGTACATAACAGCCTTTTAGAAGGCACCGTGGATTAATGGATAGCAGCTTGGATTGAGGAATCGGAGAGCCGAGTTCGAATTCCAGTCGAATCCATTACATTCACTTACGTGCTAATACCCTTGGGAAAAGGTATGTGCAAATAGCAGGACAGGATGGCAATTGGTCTCCGGCAGAAAGAAATGGCAACCTACTGCGGGGAAAAATATGCCTTGTCAGTCATGTATCGAAAGATACATGATCGCCTAAACGTGTATCACGCATGGCCCAAAACTGACTAGGAGGCACGGATTGAGGAATCGGAGAGCCGAGTTCGAATTCCAGTCGAATCCATTACATTCACTTACGTAATAATAGCCTTCTTCCCCCTCCAGATATTACAGGACAGGCCGGATGGTAACATTCAATGTCCTTCTATCGATTTACACAAGCTCGTTAGGTGGGCTAATCACTATTTCTGTCTAATCCTCTTGCCTTCTTGGGAGTGTCAATTTCTCTAAGCCCCCTTTCTTCATTATGTGATCCAAAATGTTAGCCGTCTCTTCCTGATTATATATCTAAGTGTTTTATCTACCCATTTTCCGCGAAACAACCTCGTTGCTCCCATGTTCCGTCAATGGTATTCCCAGCATCCTTCTGTAGGACTAGATTTCCTTTAGCATCTGTGAGGAAATTGTCCAGCAATTTTCCCTATAGGGAGATTGATAACAATTCACCACTCTTTTTTTTTTACAGTTATCTTTTTCTATGCACCGCATCCCTTCAAGACATAGGCGATGATGGCTCTTCACGACTTCCTATATCGTGTGACCCTTAGCAGTTTTTTTTTTCTCATTTTGCTACCTGGACTCTTTCCGCTATCTGAATAAATGTGTTCTTTCTGTTGCCAGTTACTTTATTTACTTGCAATTTTATAAGACCTTGCCATCATGGTAGTCACTCAGTTAAGTGCCACACGTGATACACGCTTGGGAGATCATGTATCTTTCGATACATGACTGACGAGACAGAAGATCTTTTTTACCGCTGTAGGTTGCCATTTCTTTCTACGATAGACTGGTTGCCAACCAAGGCTAAAGAACCCAGTCTTCCCTGCTATTTAACCCATATCTGGGGGGAGAAGAGATGGATTCATGCCTTTCCCAAGGGTACGTGAGTGTAACAAACTCGACTGGAATTCGAACTCGGATCTCTGATTCCTCATTCCGATATCCATTACACCACCCAAGCATATCCATGGTAGTACTTCGCATAATTTCATAAAGTCTAAGCATTATAGAGAAAAGAGATATTTATTTTGTAAAGATAAATAAAATGTGACACAAGGCTAAAAAGGGGGGGAAGAGACTTCTGTCTTTTAATTAAAACTAGTTATCCCCAATTCCTGAACAAAATATACAACAATATTCCTTACACTAAAACTTACTTCTTACTTAACCCTTTTGACTACAGTCACCATAATACCTCAGGTCTCTATGAAGTTATAATTATCATATGTACATTTTTTTGTCTGTAGGGGAAGCTGAATAAAAAAAGCAATTTAAAAAATGGAATCCAAATGTGTGTTTACAAGGTATTTTAAAATATATTTACAAGAAAATTAAAAAAAAATTGTGTTAGTAATAAAAGAGAAATAGATAGCGGTTCGGATTGAGGAATCGGAGAGCCAAGTTCGAATTCCAGTCGAATCCATTACATTCACCTACCCTTACTAATACCCTTGGGAAAGGTATGAATCCTCTTCTTCTCCCCTCGCCAAGCCATGGGTAAAATAGCAGGGCAGACCGGGTTCTATACTCTTGAGTAGCAACTGGTCTACTGCAGAAAGAAATTGCAGCCTACTACGCGAAAAAATCTGCCTCGTCAGTCATGTATCGAAAGATAAATGATCACGCATTGTGCATAACTAACTAGGAGGCACGGATTGAGGAATCGCAGAGCCGAGTTCGAATTACATTCGAATCCATTGCATTCACTTTCGTGCTAATACCCTTGGGAAAAGGTATTAATCTTCTTTTTCTCCCCACCCCAGCTGTGGATAAATAGCAGGACACACCGGGTTCTATAGCCTTGGATGGCAACTGGTCTACCGCAGAAAGAAATGGCAACCTACTACAGGATAAAATCTGCCTCATCAATAATATATCGAAAGATACATAATCGCATGGCATGATAACTGATTAGGAGGCACGGATTGTGGAAGCAGAGAGCCGAGTTAGAATTCTAGTTGAATCTATTACATTCACTTACGTGCTAAGAGCCTTCTTTCCCCTTCAGTTATTACAGAACAGACCGGATGACAATAGGTCTACCGGAGGAAGAAATGACAAATTAATGCGGGGGAAAAAATCTGCCTCCTCAGTCATATATCGAAACCCACAATCCCTAGAGGAAAGAACAATTAAACATAGAATTATTTATAGAAAGAAGAAACAACAGAATTTTCAGTATCCTACTACGTTTGTTTTTATTACATTCCGGGAGGGGGGGGTGATTTTCCAGCATTCGTTGCCATATAAGAGGAGAGATATCACATAGCAATCCAGTTCACTTTCCTTTGTTTCCAACAAATTATCTGTCACACGTTAAATACCTAACGCCTGTTGCCTGTATTAGCGTCTCGATCAAACAATATGATTTCGCTTATAAGATGAATATTCACTTTTGTAAATGTCTGATATCCGTTGCTACAACATCTGAAGAAATGCCATACAAGAAAGAAAATTTAATCAATTGTATAACGAGTGTTAGTGCTGGAACAGCCGTCTTGGGAAATATATGATTTTGCGTCGAGCGATTATAAGTGCAAATTCTTAATAGGTGGCAATTTTAGAAAGAAAGGGAATAAAAAGCTTTTATTTCAAGTCGACAACTTTCGCGAATGAGAAAAGCTAAATCATAATTAATAGCAAAAAGAGGAAAGGCATTTTTGAAAAGAGAAAGCGTAAGCCTTTAATTAAGTCCCAGATGTCGGGAAAAAAGATGGCGCTTGAAAGAGAAGAAGGCAGGTGGATATGGACGTGACGAACGGGAGTTGGTATTAATTACAGGTAGAGAAAATGGGAATCAAGGTAGGATTTTTTTTAAAGGTATGTATTCTGGAACGGTAAAAACGAAAACAGAGTTTTGGGGGGTTTTTTTGTAGATAGGTGAGGAAATTTAAAAGAAAGAAAGAAAGAAAGAAAGGAAGGAAGGAAGGAAGGAAAAAAGGGCGGCAGGGAGGAAAGAAGGAAGGAAGGAAATAACAAAGGAAGGAAGGAAGGAAGGAAGGAAGGAAGGAAGGAAGGAGTGTAGGGAGGGAGGAAAGAAGGATGGATGGAAGGGGGAGGATAGGAAGGAAGGAAGGTAGGGAGGGAGGAAGAAGGGAAGGGAGGAAGGAAGGAAGGGTGGAAGGAAAGAATGGAGGAAGGAAGGAAGGAGGGAAGAGAGGGAGGAAAGGAAGAAGGAAGGAGGGAAGGAAGAAAGGATGTATGGAACGAACGAACGATATAAAATCGGTGAATCAAAACGCAGAAACAGAAGCTAATAAAATAAAAGTGAGGAAGGAAGGAAGGAAGTGATGGAGGAACTAAGTAAAGATGGAACGAACGAAATAAAATCGTTTTATCGATTTTATAAAATCGCAGAAACAGAAGCTAATAAACGAAAACTAAAAGAAAGGGAAAAGGAAGGAAGGAAAGATGGGAGGAAGGAAGGAATAAAGAAAGAAGGATGGAATGGAGGAAGAAAAGAAGGAAGGATGCAAGGGAGGGTGATAGGAAGGAAGGAAGTGAGGGAGGACGGATGAGAGGAGGGAAGTAAGGAATGGCGGGAGGGAGGAAAGAAGGATGGAATAGAGGAAGAAAGGAAGGAAGGATGGAAAGGAGGATGATAGGAAGGAAGGAAGGAAGGAAGGAAGGAAGGAAGGAAGGAAGGAAGGAAGGAAGGAAAGATTGAAGGGAGGAAGAGACGAAGGCAGGAAGATACGAAGGCAGGAGGATGTAAGGAATGGCGGGGGGAGGAAACAAGGAAAAAAGGAAGGATGGAAGGGAGGAAGTTAGGAAGGGAGGAAGGAAGGAGGGAAGGAAGGAAGGGTGGAAGGGACGATGATAGGAAGGAAGGAAGGTAGGGAGGGATGAAGGAAGAAAGGATGGGAGGAAGAATGTAAAGAAGGGCAGGACGGATGAAGGAAGGAAGGAAAGATGGAGGGAATGGTGGAAGAAAGGATGGAAGGGAGGAAGGAACGGATTGAAGGGAGGAAGATAGGAAGGAAGGAAGGTTGGTCTGGTTGGATGAAGGAAGGAAGGATGGAAGAGAGGAAGGAACTAGGGAAGGGAGGAAGGAAGGAAGTTAGGAAGGAAGGAAGGATTTAAGGAATTGCGGGAGGGAGAAAGGAAGGAATGATGGAAGGGACGATGATAGGAAGGAAGGGAGGGAGGAAGGAAGAAAGGATGGGAAGAAGAATGTAAAGAAGGGCAGGACGGATGAAGGAAGGAAGGAAAGATGGAGGGAATGGAGGAAGAAAGGAAGGGAGGAATGAAGGATTGAAGCGAGGAAGATAGGAAGGAAGGAAGGTTGGTCTGGTTGGATGAAGGAAGGAAGGAAGGGTAGAAGGATGTAAGGAATGGCGGGTGGGAGAAAGGAAGGAATGATAGAAGGGGAAGATGATAGGAAGGAAGGAAGGTAGGGAGGGAGTAAGGAAGAAAGGATGGGAGGAAGAATGTAAAGAAGGGCGGGAGGGAAGAAGGAAGGAAGGAAAGACGGATGCAATGGAGGAAGAAAGGAAGGAAGGATGGAACGGAGGATGATAAGAAGGAAGGGAGGTAAGGTGGAAGAAACGAAGGAAGGATTGAAGGGAGGAAGATAGGAAGGCAGGAATGAAGAAAAAAAGGAATGATGGGAGGAAGGATGTAAGGAATGGCGGGGGGTGGAAAGAAGGTAAGAAGGAAAGAAGGATGGAATGGGGGAAGAAAGGATGGAAGGTAGGATGATAGGAAGTAATGAAGGGAGAAAGGGTGTGAGGGAGAAAGAAAGGAAGGACTGAAGGGAGTAAGATAGGAAGGAAGGAAGGAAGGAAGGAAGGAAGGAAGGAAGGAAGGAAGGAAGGAAGGATGGGTGGAAGTATGTAAGCAAGGACAGGAGGGAGGAAGTAAGGAAGGAAAGAATGAACGAACGAATTTGACGAAATCAGTTGAATCAGAATGCAGAAACAAAAGCTAATAAACTCACAGGAAAAAAGGAATGAAGGAAGGAAGGAAGGAAAGAAGGAAGGAAATGCAAAAGGGGGGGATGGGTGGGAAGGAAAGCTGACAATTAAAGTAAAAAAAGTGAGAATAAAAGAAAAGCAAGATGGTAGAAAGGAAGAAAAGTAAAAAAAGGAAACGGAGAAAGTATGATAAAATGGTTGCATCAGAAAACAGAAGTGGAAGCAAAGAAATTGAAAAAGAAAGAAAGAAAGAAAGAAAGAAAGAAAGAAAAAAGAAAGAAAGAAAGAAAAAAAAAAAAAAAAAGGAGAAAGAGGAAAAGAAAAATGATATAATTGAAGAAAGAAAAAGAAAGAAAAAAAAATGAAAGAAACAAACAAACAAACAAACAAAGAAGAAAGACAAAGAAAAAAGGGAGGAAATATAAAGGAAGGCATAGAAAAATAATATACTTACTAGAAAGAAAGAAAGAAAGAAAGAGAAAGAAAGAAAGAAAGAAAGCATGGAAAGGAAAAAATGATAGGACGGTTTCAAAGAAAGAAAGAAAAGAAAAAGAAAGAAGGAAAGAAAAAGAAAAGAAAATATTGTGCAAAAGAAAGGCTAAGAAACAAACAAACAAAGAAAGAAAAAGAAAGAAAGAAAGAAAAAGAAAGAAAGGAAAAGGAGAACTAAAGAAAGGAAAGGAGACATATGAGGAAAAATAGAAGAAAAATGATATACTTATTGAAGAAAGAAAGGAAAGAAAAGAAAGAATGAAAGAAAGAAAGAAAACAAACAAACAAACAAAGAAGAAAGACAGAAAGAAAGAAGGAGGAACTATATAAGGAAGGGCATAGAAAAAATAATATATTACTGAAGAAAGAAAGAAAGAAAGAAAGAAAGAAAGAAAGAAAGAAAGAAAGAAAGAAAGAAAATATTGTGGAAAGGTTTCTAAGAAAAAAGAAAGTTTCAAAAAAAAAGAAAGAAAGAAAAAAAAAGAAAGAAAGAAAATATTGTGCAAAGGAAAGGCTAAGAAAAAGAGGTGACGGTTTCAAAGAAAGAAAGAAAGAAAGAAAGAAAGAAAGAAAAAGAAAGAAAGAAAGAAAGAAAGAAAGAAAGAAAGAAAGGAGACTATATGAGGAAGGGCATAGAAAAAATGATATACTTATTGAAGAAAGAAAGAAGGAAAGAAAGAAAGAATGAAAGAAAGAAACAAACAAACAAACAAACA